TCTTAAAAACTATGTACTTGGAAAATTAGGTCATTCATTAGTATGTCCAAAAATCACTTTTATAAACCTTGACGGTATCCGCAGTTCATTAATTAACAATTAAATTACAAAGTACATTTAATTTAAGTAACTTTACATTACATTTGCACAAAAGTCGACTGTCCGAGAGATTTATTAGTGCTGCTAAAAGTAACGTTTTGGTATTTTATTATTTTACAAGGCAATCTGTGTTTGACGCTTATTCAACAAGATAAAATCTGGATCGTAGGCAGAAATTCAATAATCTGTAGTGTCTTAGTCTGCTTATATCCCTTAAAACATGTCGCGGAGAACCTAACGGGTTACCGGGGCTCCGGCTCGACGTGCAGGAGAAGGAACGGGGTGGTTTTTAGTCAGTAAGAGTCTGACACTCCCTCCCGCCTCACCCAGGCGGGAGCAGTCAATCAATGATTTTCCCCCTTAAAAAAAATGCCTTTTTTTATTAAATTTTGAAGTATTTTTCTGCAATATTTACGATAAAGTTTATATAAACTTAGCCATAAAGGTAATGTAACAAAACTGGTACCTAATAAATTAGAACAATAAGGCATTATATCAATTCTTATATTATGGCATAGACAGTTCTATAACAAGTACCCCGAGACCAGTCTCTCTGCTGATCCCAATCGATACCATTTCAATAGCAAACAAATCTCGGTCGAATGTCGCAACCCATTGGTTCCGGATACAAACACAATTGCATACAACCTGTATATAGAACGACTAGATCGACAGTTTAATATCCATTGCGTTTATTGTTCTGAACTATTTTGGCAATGATTCTAATGAAGAAGCAATGGTCATCGGTGTTTGTAGAAAGGGTCATTGAATTTTGTTTTTTTTTGTGTATGTTTTAACTTAGATACATGGTGGTGTAAGATTAGTAAATTAGAGATTGTTATCAGTGTATTGTGCTAGTAATTGATCTCAGTCAATGCAATCGGTATTATTACGATATCGCCCTTATATCCAAATACTAAGACTTAATATTGAGTGGAGTACTATAATTCTGTCACAACAAATTGATAATTTGAAGATTAGCTGTCAATTTATGCTTAGGTTGGGAATCAGACTTCCGATTTTAACAAAAGATGACGAGAAACTGACTTCTCCAGCAGTTGTGTAGGCAATGTGGTAATTCAGTAACGTGAAAAATGAATATTACAAAGTGACTAATGAAATTATCAATAGAGATATTCTGAGAAATAAGTATTGCACCTTTTTGTATTCTGCAAATAGATACACAACAGTAGGTAACCTTTAAATATCTTAACTTTCATAACTGTTTGGGAAAACCACATAATATCCCCAATAGAGACAACAGCACAGCAAAGTATCCAATCTTTTTGCATAGCAAAGTAAACTTTATTTCAGCATTCTAAAATTCAAAATCTAATAAAGTAAAACAATTTTAGGGTACCTTGATACCTTTTCAATGACCACCATAGTCTCGTAACTGACATAATATGTAGGCAACATTACAACACTAGTTAAAATTCCATTCACACATCGGCCACCAGACGGACAAGTACATAACTTGTTATATTTCAAAGTATATATTTAGGTATTTCGCGTTTGGAGAAAGAGAGCGATCGGTCAAGGCTGCTGAGCTGATACTGCGCCCAATTGTCGGTGCTATTGAATTTTGTGAACGTGGATTGAGTCTTGTGTACGTTAGAATTTAAAGTAAGTTCTAATGTACTTTTGAAAATATTTAAAAAGTCAGTTATAATTAGGATGATGACAGGGTATGAAAATTAAAAATGTAATTAGTCCGTATGTTAGATAATGAAAAATATTAGACAAGTATTTTTTTATTTTGTCGTATAATAAATAAAATAATACTTAGATAAAACAAATGAAAGTTTAGGAGTGGGGGCTAAAACGTCATTTCTACGAAGTGACGTCACGCGACATTTCAATTTATTAGTTTCTGTGAACGAATTACTTACATACTATCATTAAACTATCAAATACCAAGCGGTCACCGGTGACCGCAACCTATTGTTCTATAATTGTGTCTACAAAACCGGTACTCGACGAGTTAAAATATTTGATTTTTGAGTGGTTGGCTCGGCTCGGGTTCGATTACCGGGTCGGGCAAAGAATTAAAATCTCAGTAGTAGCATGGAGTCTGAAATTATGTCCGGTATATGGCAATAGGCTCACCCCCTATTACATGGGACTCATATCATAAATGTGAAAAGTGGGTGTTACATTGTACAGTGGTATAATGGTGACCTCTGCCTACCCCTTCGGGGATAAAACACTGACAGTACACAATTCCATTTTCATTCCAATAAACTTAACGATTATTGATCGCATTAAACAGAAAAAAATGGCGACCAACATTTCTTTGAGAGGTCTAAAGAATGAAGGAAATCCGCGTTTTAAGGTCACTTGCCCGAACACTCGCACTCGTGGCATCGAAGGCTGTCCACTATCAATCGAGGCTTAGTTGTGATAACGTATGCAACTTTAGGAATTTGATACGATTACATGAACCACTTTTATATAGACTTCAAAGGGAATATGTTCTTAATTCGCCTGTATGTTCTTTATGTATGTTACGCGATAATCCCGTCAATTGTGGATCAATTTTCAAAATTATTTTGTTGCTCGATAGGTTATTAATTATTAGGTAGTGATAGCTTTTAGAATGATTTGACATTCGGCTTAGGATAGTGGTAGGTAAAAGTATTACTTATAGGATCACCGTCTTGAATGTCTATTTTGTTGTGATTAGCCTATTAAAGATGGAAATGAGAATGCTTTTATTAAAACATTATCTGTAAGTACTTCAAATACATTTAAATGTAATGTATTTAACCGAGATAAAATCTTTTGCATTGATATCATCGTCATATTTATTTATTATGGAAGAATTTGTAACACAAAAGAAAGATATCTTTATTTCACACGCTAAAGATAAGTGACATGTACAAATAGATTATAGTGTTAGTTTATAAGTACTGATGGGTACATATTCATGTCCCAAGTCTGCGGTGAAATATGACCAGTTCAGCATGTGCAGGATAGGATACTGGCATCTTAAGTAACATTTAATATAATGTGAATTTGTGGAACTGAGCAAAATTTTATAATTACGAAGCAATTAATATTTAACCACCTATAAAACTAACATTAAACCACGATATAAACATAAACATACGTCTAAACATGTGTAAAATTAATTACTTTTACGATATAAACAATGAAACATCGAGAACAATGACGAATCACCCACGATACTAGAGGTACAATCAATCACAACAATAGTTTAACGACAGCACTTTAAGTGTTAATGATGACGTCAACAAGTCATTAATCACTTTAATTTATGAAGCTCTAAAACTGATGACTACTTCATACTTAGTTCCTATTTACCATATCCAGAAGTCATTAAATGATGCGCAAATTACTTGACTACATAATGTTTATTCAAAGATTATGTTGTTATTCAAGGATATAAATATTACTACCTAGATGTCATTATCATCACAGTCATCGGTAATAATATATCTTGAAGTGCAAAAGTAAGAACAGGGTGGTTTTTAGTCAGTAAGAGTTTAACACTCTCTTTCGCCTCACCCAAGGCGGGAGAAGTCATTGGATGATTATCTAGTCTCAAAAAAAAGCAAAAGAAATTATATTGCTTTGGTCGACTCACTGGACAATGGTGAGAGAAAGACTAACAGACATTTATGGTTTTCGAAAAGACATACAGAATGTTTTAGTAAAAAGTATATTGATTGGATTAAATTTTGGAACATAGACGCTGTTCCTACAAACATTTGGTTACCTATTCAATAGATATTGCAGTTTAGCTTTTTGCATAATAGATTCAGTTGACTCAAAGGACTGACGCATTCATTACCAAATGCCAAGTCTTGTACAATGCCAATCACAATATAGAGGGATATTTGCCCATGTCATTCCTTATCTTCATTCCAACTCATCACAAATTACATAACTAACCAAAAAACCACAAAATACCAAAAAACTGACATCATTCTCAAAATCAAACTTAATAACCATTCCATACAGTTTATGACCATAATCTGGTCAATTAACAAAATGAACTTGTTAACATTAAAAGTTCAAAACTAACATCAGGCTAGATGTAAATTTTTCGCGGGCTGCGCGTGCGATGCACTGCAAAGGTCAGGAAACTGGTTTGTACCAGCTCACACTGGTGAGAATCCTCTAGCATTCATGTTAGTTGAAAGATAGATATGATTAAGATTCCTTCGTATTTGGACACCATTTTTATCAATTTCCTTGAACGTATCGCGATGCTTAATAATTCTCGGACGTAAGACAAATAAGAAACACGTTGTAGATTTACTTTTAACCACTTAAGTATAGATTTTAACAATCCCAACTTTTAAGTGGAGGTGCAATACAATTTCATCTCTGTTCTTCAGAAAATTGTGAAAATTTTGCGTTGTGTTTCGTCGTGTGAGTGAGGTTACCGGAGGCCCAATTACCCTCCCCTTCCCCAATCTCCCCAATTCCTGAATCCCCAACGATCCTCAAACTCCTAATCCCCAAAAGGCCGGTAATGCACTTGTAACGCTTCTGGTGTTCCAGGTGTCCATGAGCGACGCCGATTGCTTACCATCAGGTGATCCGTGTGCCCGTTTACCGGCTTGTGCCATAAAAAAAGAAAATTCTCACATTACAAAGAAATTTTGAATAATTCACCCCCTTTTGGTTTTAATTTAAATAGCGAACTTTATAAGCATATTATACATGGGTTATCTTTACATATGGACATTCACAGAAAATTTTGTCCCATCAGGCTAAACAGAAATTAGAGTTGTGATTATGGGTGATGAAGAGTATTTGTAATTAGCGGACATTCTAAAACTATTTCTCCCAGTCTCTTATAGACATTCAAACTACTTCCTCCGATAAGTTATCTATTCATCACTAAATTCCATCTTCATAATTTCCAGATGCTGTGCCCCACCCTGTTCCTGGCGACGCTGGCTCTGGTGAGCTGCGACGTGTCCCATCTGCTGGAGACCACCACGACGCCCGAGCCGCCACCACATCCATACGTGTTCTCCTACACTGCTGGGCGCTACCCTGGACATGCTGACAGGACGCACACTGAAGTCAGTGATGGCAGTGGTGTTGTTAAAGGTGAATTTTAATCATCAAGCTTTTGACGCATCAAATGTGTACATTACGGCACTTAATGCCACTGTACAATGTAACACCCACTTTCCACTATTTATATTATGAATCCCATGTAATAGGGGGTGAGACTACTGCCATATACTTACCGGGTACATTTCTAGACTACGTGTCACTACTGAGAAATTAAAATTAAACCCGTGATACTTTGCCCTACCTGGGAACCGAATCCGAGCCCCCTTGTCGCACTAGCGATCACTCGGCCAATGAGGCAGTCGAGTGAACTTTAAGTACCTCATTATTTGAAATCTTTGGTCTAATTAAGTATCTATACTTAGCGGGGATAATGATAAACATTTCTTGTGTATATGAGGATCATAGTGTATCAGTGAACTGTCGCAAATTGTTTACGAAGATTTAGGCTTAGAACGGGATTTCTTTTATTCGTTTTCTTGCTCCTTCACTCACTAACGAATCACTTCATAGTTATCGTTTGTTTTATTTAAGGACTGTTCTGTTTTGTTTTGTTTTTTTTTTCTTTTATAATTATTTCAAATGTATAACGCCTTGGTTTTATGACTGTAATGTTATACTATTTAATTGAAATAAATAAATAAATTGTAGGATTCAAAACGGCTAAGTACTTAATTATGTTCCTTATGACACACAGTCTTCATTGATTTGCTAGTGTTATTTGTCATCTGTACCGATGTAGTCCACTATAAATTTTGAATTAAAAGTCGGAATAAGACAACATAAAAACGCATTGCTTAAAAATAAAAATAATAAAAATCTTGCAGTAACATCCGACACCAACCAGTTTATATTTAATCAAAACCAAAAAATGTCTCCAATCTATTCGATAATGGAGACTTAAAACAAAAAAATCAAACACATATCCGTAAATAATGTTTTCCAATATAATCGAGGTTTGACCTTTTAATAAATAATGTCGTAAACCAGTTTAACTGGCGAGGCAAATTGTAGATGAGTAAGATATAATAATATGTGTGGTATTCAGAAATATTAATGGCCGTAGACACATAACAAACATGTAATAGACGCCAATAGCAATAAGGAAAGAATTGCCGTGTTCGTTATTACCGTAGAAGAGTTCATTTGTCTGCATACTGATGGCGAAAATAGCAAGTGAACTGAATAAATAATTATAAAAGAATTACACTTAAAAGTTTCTCAAGCAGATCCCACCAATTTGCAATCATTCCACAAATTACAATCAAATATTCTCGTCAAATCTCTAACTTCTCTGTGAAGTGTTGAGATTATATAGCAAAACGTACTTCTCTTCTTACGTAGAGAAGGCCAATAATAGTCTAGAAGTGGTTCGTCAAGGACCTTGTCAAGGACACTATACGTTTGCTATTTAACCGACTTGAAAGAGGAAAATTAAGGAGATTCTCTGTTGGACCTGTATTTATGTTTGTGCGTGAATATCTCGCGATTAGCTGGACTGATTTTGATGCGGTTTACAGAAAAGTGTTTACTACACTTTGGACAAGGTTTTAGTATATTAATTAACCGACTTCAAAAATAAAGGGCGTTGGTTTTTTAAACACAGTTTATAAAATAATGATTTCCATGCATAGACGGTTCCAAAACAGCTAATACAGCTATCAATTTATTGACACCATCTCGTTGTCAAAATTACATTAGTCTATTCATAATAGGGTAGATGCCTGATTTTTATTTTAATGTCCGTCTGGTAGATTATTTTAAATCATTAGACAAGTATTTTTTATTTTCTTACAGAAACGAATACTTTCTATAATATATTGATTTGAAATGTCGCGTGACGTCACTTCTATGTACATTTTATACGTAGAAATGACGTTTTAGCCCCTACTCCTTTGATTCGTTTTATCTAAGCATTGTTTTATTATACAACATAAAAAAATACGTGTCTAATATTTTTTCATTACCTAACTGACGGACTAATTATATTTTTAATTTTCATACCCTGTCATCATCCCAGTTAAACTATAATCAATAGAATAAAATTATATAGATATACATTATAATCTATCCATAATTAGACTAAATTCCTTTATTACACAAACTACATCTACAATTCCACAAGTATCTAGGAATGAAGTAACAATTACACTTTCTAAAGCTGCGATATTAACAAGGAATTTGCGTAAATTTCCTTGCTCTAGTTAGATGTATCAACCTGATACTGCGTATAAGGAAGGGAAATCACAAGAGTGTTTTATGACCAGATTTTATACCAACTATTCGGTACACGTCTTTTGAGGCCTAAATATAGACAGGCGGAGACAAAAAGAGCAATTAGACCTAATTTATGGTTGTATTACTGATTCTAGACTCGTGTTTGTTTAGAATAATATGTATGTGAGTCGTTTAGTATTTTGCGTCTCAAATAAGTAGCCTTAGTATTTGTAGAATTGATTTAGGCTGTAGATGAATAATTAAAGAATTTTAATGAATATAAGGTACTGGTGTTTTCATTACATGCCAAAATTACATTGTCTCAAATTCCTACAAAAGAATAAACATTATTTCTGAGATGACTCGATGGCTTTTCATATCCCTATCGTCTTTAAATTACTTAACGACTTAGATTGATTCCAATACTGCATTAGATCATTCGACTATTGAAATTTTCTTCTCAGAACCTAACAGAATAGTTTATGCTCCTGATAATAATTATGTTGGTATGGTAACAGTTACAAAATAGAACGGCCCTTCACTACATTTGTTACACCTTGAGCTCACCTTGGCATCGAAGTACGCATGAAGTACTATCGGTAATTTATTAATTACTCTCTTACATTCACATATTACAAAGTTAACAGAAAGTTTTCACCTTGTTCATACAAACTTGAGATAAGCTGACAAAATTTTTAGTCAATCCTTCGTTATTTTGAAGTCCTTTGACAGTAGTCCTTTATTCGCAAATAGACGTCCATCTTAAAACTTAAAAACTAAGAAATATTTCCTAATTTAATATTCATACTTTTCCAGGCTCATTCTCGTACGTAGACCCTCGCCAGAAGGTCCGCACGGTGGACTATGTGGCAGACAAGCAAGGTTTCCACCCGATCCTGAGCCATGTGCTTCCAGAACACCCAGCAGACTCCGAGTCTGTAGCCCAGGCCAAGAACAGGCACTACCAGCTCTACGCCAAGATCGCTGAGGAACATGCTAACCCTCATCCTGAATGTAAGTTGGATTAAAATCACGATGTGCTATGTTATTTTATCTCATATTGATCTTTACACATAGTACTTGACATAAAAATCAATAATACATGCATAACGTAACCCTTGTATTAAACATTCTCCCTAAAGACTGACTTAAGCAATTTCGACACGACAAAACATAACAGAAATATTTTTGGATGAAACAAAAAGAGCTTGTTTTTAACCGACTTCAATAAAAGAAAGAAGTTCTCAGTTTCTCCTGTATATATGTCTGTATGTATGCATGTTTGTACGCGATTAACTTGCGATTGGCCAACCCGATGTTGAAGCGGTTTAGAAAAAAAAAAATTTACTCTTTGCCGAAAGTTTTAGTTTATAAACTGACTTAAAAAAAGAAGATGAGGCTGAAGTCGATTTTTCAAACACAGTGTATAAAATAATTATTTCAAATGATATTTTAGCAGTACAACGTTAAATAAGAAACAGGAGTGTATAGTATATTCACAAGACATGAGTTTCCGAGAGACAGGCTCAATTTCTCTGATTTTCCCAACAAAAATAATTTAACGTAACATAACATTAACAACATACATTCTCATATATCTCCATCTCCATTCCAGTAATATCAGCACCTATAGAGTCACAGGCTGTAGCCGAAGCTCGCGCGAAACATGCCGAACTATTCCGAGTGATCGCCGAACAGCACGCGCGCATCGCAGCAGAAAGAGAAGCACTCTTAAGAGAAGAAGAAGAGAAACAACAACTACAGGAACTAGGACAGTAGACCTTCATCAAATATGGAGTAGCAGATGGATAAACTGAGAAGTGGAGACAACGGCTTGTATAGCTATACTTTTCCGAGGTATACTGACTCTTTATTGTATGCTAAGTACGTAATTCGAGTACAGTTGTACTTAGTGTAGATTATAGTTGTTTGACGTTGTTTGTACTTCAAAAGAATAATGTAATTATGCTAAATATAACGCAAACTCCAAAGTAATATGTGACACTGAGTAAGGGAAATCAAGATTTACAGTGATTAACATTAAATACAAAATACATTGTTTGTCTCTGCTATCCATATTTGACAATAAAACGACTGCAGTGATACTAATTAAAATAAATACAAAATTGTTACATATTTTTAACTATTTATGTAGGTACATCTTTTTTATGAATTTTTAAAACTATTACCACGATTTTTTTATGCTAAATCCTTTTTATATGTGATACTCAATACTCATTTGAGTTGTAATAATTAATTATATTTTCATTTTTAAAATGGTAGTTATCATTTAACTGTGAATAATTTGTGTAAGTTTGTATATAAAATATTAAATATAAGTATTTTAATAATACTCTCTCGAAATGCCATAATAAAACCAATTTGATATGACTTATTTTCTAGTTCACGTATGTATTAAGTGAAAATTTTGTATTTTTATACTTAACATGTTTTTGTAATGTGAAAACATCTCAATAATGATAATAAATAAAAGAGTTATTAATAAGTATTGATCATTTTACTCAGAGAGGTTTATCTAACATCGTAGTTTAGGTACCTATTACTTTTAAGATAAAATTAGGCGGACGACTGACTAAGGGAGTCAGTCGTCCACTGTATGGGCGGGAATTGGCGTTAGCGTAGTGATCCACTCACGAAACTCGAGGAGGAGTGGTGGGATCTGCCGTATTATAGTGGTAGGTAAGTCGAGACCTGCCGAGTGCAGTGATTCCGCAAGGACGTTCCGGGTCACGGCCACGGGCAAAGGAGGAACATCGCGGTGGTTTTGAGCTGGTAAGAGTTCGGCACCCCTCCCCCATGTCGTTACCACGACTTGCGAAGTCCATGAGACGAGTTATAAAAAAAAGGCCTTATTTACTTAGAAAATGTCTTCCAATGTAAGCATTTTAAAGTTTGCTGTAATAAAATATAATTTTATAGATTTCTTGATTAATAATATCACCAAGAAATATATTATATTACAATATTACTACAGAATTGATTTTGAAAGCTCGCTTCGTTTGTTTTCATCGATTTTAAAGTTGGGTATATATAACAATTAATGAAACGCAGAAATAACATGTTAAACTTTTAATCAGTAACATTGAACGAAGCCAAAGGTATAGGGGGATGTTGCCGTGTCGTTGTTAATTATTCGCTGGTTACATCTGTAAATAACATTATAACGCATTAGATTCGATAGATCGATAGAATTATGATTTGTTTTTTATTACTTAGCCTTGAATCGTAAACTAAGAATCATAACATAACATCACGCCTTTTATACCCGAAGGAGTAGGCAAAGGTACACACATTATGGCACTTAATGCCACTGTACAATGTACCTAACACCCACTTTTCACTATTTATGTTATGAAACCCATGTAATAGGGGGTGTGCCTATTGCCATATTTTATTTTTTATATTACCGGGCACAATTTCAGACTCCGTGCTACTACAGAGAATTTATAAAAACCCAATAATACTTTGCCTGACTCGGGAATTGAACTCGAGATCCCTTGTATGGCAATCGCACTTGCGACAACGAGGCAGTCAATTAAGAATCAATTACCGGGTAAATCAGGGTGAACAGAAATTAGAGGGGCGAATAGATACTATGAAGCATTTTCCAATGGCTATTACCCCTCGAAATCTATTGACCATATTTTAATTTTGAAGGTACTTACTGCTTGGTGGAGGGCCGGGTGGAGGTCCGTAGCCGCCATTGCAGCCAGCCTTCTGTACAGTGGTCATGCCACTCTGGGAAACGATAAAAACTATGAGATTAACCACTCCCAATGCAACAGCATCATAAACACAAAAAGTTTTATTTACGAGTCGGAAAACCTATCACCATAATTATCCTTGTTTAAAAATTAATATTATTAAAGACAATCAGCCGAACATAGTACCTCCACCTTTTTTATAGTCAGTAAAAAAACATACACTTCATATACTTACAGTACCAAAACCAAAAAAAAATTGTACGTCTCACAAAAGTTACAGTACACTTTCAGCTGATCTGATGGAAAGCAATTACCACCATATCATAATGACGTCAGCATCCCCATACTAACATTGTGTAATACTTACTCCGCCACAGATCCAGAATATAGGTTAGAACCTACTGACACTACAGAACCTACTGATATAATGATTCCCAATTTTTTTTGAATATTCAAGCTTATTATTTTGATACTCACGACAGCAGCGAGGGCGATGCCCATAACAGCGATGATAACTCCAAAAATCTTCATGTTGTTTCAGCGAATGATCGTGAACTGTCAACCTACTGGACACCCTCGCTATATATACTGGATCTAACAAGTCAAATAATCTATTTGTAACAATTTACCATCCGGTGATATATAATAATAATACATAATATTTATTGTAACAACCTTCCGCTGTTCAGCAATTTGTAGGCGTCGATGCGACAAAATTATTGAACTTAAATAAATATTTTGATAATTACTTCTGCTTCTACGTGGTTAGTGCTTGTGCACTCGCTTCAGTACAGTAATTTTAGCTTAAATGAATGGGGAACTATATGTATATTACAATAATGGCATTACATCATTTAAAAAGGTGCTGTTTTTTCTATGAGGAAACAGACAAACTCGAAGCGTTACACTTCGTAGTCTTCAAACCCCAAGTGAACAGGTTGCTCATAGGTAGGCGTGCTCCGTCGTTGGTCCCATCATCGCTTACCATCAGGCGAGATCACATCACGGTCACCACAGCACGGTTGGTGCGGTGGCTGGTCAACTGGCTGCCACGTAATGTCGCGAGTTCGATTCCCGCACGGAACAACTCTTTGTGTCGGATCAACCATCCACAGATGGTTGTTCCGGGTCTGGGTGTCATGTGTATATGAACGCACCCACAACACAGTAGAATATTCTGTGTGGGGGAACGTTTTTCGAAACGAACATGGTGGCTTAATGCCATCCTATTAAATATAAAAAATACATAACTTACCACCTAATTTTTGATTAATAGTAATTTAGGGATCGTAGTTAGGAGGATCCCTAATTGAGCACTGCCTCTTCTGGTCGTGGGGCGCAGGGGGTTGTCACAAGTTTTCGCTTGCCTTGCACTCTGCCATACATACTTACATGTGTCCCTACAGTAACATAATCTCACTGAAGTCTATAGTCTATTGAAGTCTATTCTTTCTGCTGGTCAATTAACTTTAATTCTAGGAGTGAATCAGATTTGGTTGTTTCACAATCCGCTAAGGAGGTCATCACATTCTTGATAAGACCTATCGTCAGATATTTGAGGCTTTAAGTTGGCTTATCAACTATCACAGTTGTTTGTAAGACAACCGGGACAGACATACATAGTACCTCTCGAGACTTAGCATTTTAGGAACAGTGGGTATAAGGAATGAAGTAAATACTTGTGAAGAGTTAGGTAAACTTATATGTTTGTGTTCGGAGTCGATTCGCTGCCGCAGTTTGACAAACTTTGATTTGAATTCGATCTACAAACCATCACCTTAAGGTTATAATTCCGTCGATAAGGAATAAGGAGAAAATGTGTTTAGTGTAGCCGTAAAACTAATTTCTTCCTGCCACTTTCCCTAGATATTTGTGGTCATTAGCAGTACTGTATGGATTGACTGACAGACTATTATTTATTTTGTATTTGTTGACATTTCAAAAGCACCAACCAAATTATGGTTTAATTGAAATAAATGCTTTCACTTTGACTGCCAAATAAATATTAATTGCCAATTAAATGTGTTTTCTTTCTTTCTTTACTATAAGGGCACTCGGGGCGCGTGCCCAGGGGGCCCCGAACGACCGACAATATCTACGGCATGCCGTGATTATCTTACTTGTAACGCCTCTGGTGTTCCAGCCGCGGCAGGCAAACACCTGCATGGTCGCTACACGTTGCGCGGTAAGCGGCTACCGTGTAACATGTAACGAACTCGATTCTAATTCTAAATCTTTCTGTGATTCACAAATTGTGGTTTCGTGTCTGAGTATTGTGTTAATGTGAATGTAAACGCGCCCACGATTAACAGGAGAAAAACCTAATGCCCCACACTAGGTTTTAGGTACGTAGAAAAAGGAACATTGGAAAGGGCCCCGATTCATTCTGTGCCCAAGGGCCGCAGTGGAGTCTAAGACGGCATTGGTCATTAGAATGTTATGTCCGTTTTTGTCATTGTTCCTATTAGACGTTGCCCTATCACTAGTTAACTATTTTTCTGTCATATCATTTCTCGCTTAAAATCAATAGAGACGACTAAATACCTTTCAACATCTCTCCAATCAGTGCCTAATATTAGGCTTCCTTTAAAATTTTTTTTTTTTTTTTTTTTTTTTTTTTTTTTTTTTTTTTTTGACAGTAATTATTTTATTTCAAGAAATTATATATACAATTAATATTAACTATAACTTAATGAAAATATATACAACTTAAAATATAAATAACTATGAACTAAAATATTTACACCTTAAAAAAAGGTAATAATAAATAAATAAGCTATAATAAGGCATCAAAAAAAAAATTTTCCTCATCATTATCGTGAGGTAGGGTGCCCAAAAGACTGGCAGCATTACCACGTTGAATGGCAATGCTTAACCTTTGTCCAAGGTAGAAGCCAGCCCTTCGATCACCTGAAGTGTCAACCATCCTCTTTACAATATCTTTGTAAAGAAGATGTGCACTTGGGCCCCACGGCCCTAAAGTTTCAACCCCAAACGGTTCGAAAGCATAATTGCCAATCAGGCTATCATACTTTCGCCGTTTGAGGTTCTCGGCAGCAGCAGCGGCAGCACCGGCTCGACACGCTGAGTTTGGAAGATGGGATGGCGCCAGAGTATCAACGCAAGTGGCGTCCCATACTAAAGGCCTACCCATCTTCCAAGGGAATAATGACATACCGTCGGGTCTCTTGCCATCGTTGCGTACCAAGCCATTAGGTTCTAAAGTAGCTGGCACGCCAACGGAGACAAGAGCTCGACGAATTATGTCATTAATACTCGCGTGTCGAGCAAAACGACCCGCACTACGGCTACACGACAAGCCGTGGTGTCCAAGGCTGTTGACATCTTCACCACAACGACAACGATGAGGTGAACAAAATGAAGCCCCAAGCCTTAAACAAATTGCAGCGCGGAATGTGGTGTCGTCCAACAAAGTACCTAAGTTGGACGAAGGCAAAGCAAGAAGCCATAACCCTGACTCCCACTCACCCACAGCCAAAAGGCGAGCTCGCTCTGCAGTTGAACAAGCGGAGTTCAATAGATTTTCGCTCACTTTCCTGCAGAGCGGCTCGTCCCATTGTCTCTGGGAGAGTGATTTGACGGGGGGGTCAATATTTGGGCAAGCGATTTTCCAAGCTTTCACAGCTTCCACTAAAAATGGTACATCAAAATTAACCAGTGATTGAGAAAGAATTTTCCTGGTTAATTCTTCAGTACCATGGGCGGAAGATATGAAAGCTGGTAGGCTTACACTGGAAATTTTACGGACGCCAAGCCCACCCATGCGGACAGGCAGAGTAGCTTGTGTCCAGGCTCGGTCGTCGAGAGCCACATTCAAAATTAAGGATAAAGTTTGTCTAATGCTTCGGTCAATTTTTTCTAAAAGAAGGGGTGCAGACCAGAGGTGGGTCGAGCGCAAAAAATACATAAATTTGGGACCAAAACAACAAAAACGAATAATAGTATAGGCCGAATGCATTCTAATGTGATACAGTCTTTCTGAAACGACAGAAAAATTTTGAATTTTTTCATCAATAAAACTTTGAAAAGAGTCCTCGAAGACGGGCGCACCTAGGAGGCGAAGCGAACATTTATCGACAACCGAGATATTAGGCGCAAAAGTAGTAAATTTTGATATGATCTGTCTGTCGGTAGAGTCATGTAAAAATATCTCACACTTGGAATAATTTAGGTCAAGGCCAATAGCATGAAGTTCGTTTTTTAAAAATTGGAAATCATTTAAAACTGTATCTGCATCGCCTCCCAGGGTACCGTCATCGAGGTACCACACATTAAATTTAGAATTTAGCTGTCGTATAATAGGATTAATGGCCAGGCTAAAAATCACTGGCCCAAGGGGATCGCCTTGTTGACAGCCAACGGCTGATTCCAAAAGGTTGTCCTGATATAATAATTTTGTAGGGTGTCTATAACATTGCCAGAGAAAACTAAAAATTTGGGGTACATTTCCTTTAAAATTCCTACTCATTACTAGTCACTAAGTGAGCCAAAATAAGTCCGGAATCGTTTGGAGTGTCTCATTGATTATTGTATTCTCGTTATATATCTAGAGGTAATAACGACTTCTGTCACTATTTCGCATTTCTCGAATTATGTAGTCATCGCTATTTCCAAGGTTTATTCTACGGCTGTGGCAAACGTCATCAGACTCGATTCAGAACCTAGTTATATTTATTGTGAGATCAAAGAGTCACATCAGACTTCAACAGTTGTTCATTTCCGTCCACTACTGCAAATCGGCTTCCAAACCACTATCGAAAAGTAAAGAAAAATTTTAAGCCTTGTCGCAAAGTATCAAGCTTGAGTATAAAATGTCTAATGCCATCGTTCAGTTTTGAGCTTACTCGAACAGTTTCAGCTTGTTCGAAAAGTTTGATCTATAAATTTCGAGCTTGTTAGTCGAGTTTCGGGCATGCTCGAAAACTTTTGAGAAAATAATTTTAAATAAAATATCCAATGGCTTATTATGTATTGTTATGACCTTAATGAATGACCACAATTTTTTAAAGCAATGACAATAACAATTCCACAATTCAGAATATCAACCAAATTATTGTCCAGTTCTCACAGGATCTCTCTTCTTGAAGACTGGAGTTTCTATCAAGCACTGAACTCCAATTTTTATTTACATTCATAAAATTAACTCATATATTTTAAACTAGCTTTTACCCGCGGCTTCGCTCGCATCACAAATGGATAAAAGTAGCCTATGTGACATATCATATACCAATACACACAGCGCCATCTATACCAATTCTTTTGTTTTCCCTCGGGAATATAAAAAAAAATCCGAGTTAAAAAGTACCCTATTATTTAATCCGGACTTCTAACTTAGTAGTTGCGGTGTGAAAGCGGAACAAACAAACAAACTCACTTTCCCATTTATAATAGTAAGAATTCGGACGTCCTATGGGGACTGACATTGACACTGGTAAAAATTGTAAAATTTAATGATTACAGGTAAACTTGCAAGTTGTACCTTATTATTGTACTACCATGGTCCATTGTTGGTAAACTTGCAAGTTGTATGTCTCATATAAAATCTTAGAAAATGTAGATATTTTTTGTAAAAAGTGCACATACTATATAAGTAACACTATTAACTCGTCGAGTACCGGTTTTGTAGACACAATTATAGAACAATAGGTTGCGGTCACCGGTGACCGCTTGGTGTTTGACAGTTTAATGTAGATTTGAAATTGTGACTAAGAGAAAAACGCGTAGAGTGTTTTGTTTTTTTTCTTCCATGTTAGAAGTACTACGTGGATTATTTCGCAAATAACACTAATATTGTTCTTATCTAATGATTTCCTATCCCATTCAGTTCTATAGTCCCATATGAGATGACCATCATCATAAGAACAAGTAACCCTGTAGGTATATTGATAAATGAAAGACAATATAATAAGTGTGAGAGTTTATTCAGTGCATTATGTGAGCCGAAGTAGATGTCCTGAGGGTTGCCGGGTTGTCGTCTAGCTGGTAGCGTCTGTGGATGAAAAATATAACATTAGAACAGTCAACAAATTATTAGCATTACGATAAGAAGGTGACATCATCATCCACTCAGGTAACATCATCAAACTGCCAACCCACTGGTAAGCAAAGGTGTGTACCTATGTATGTGTTTAATTATCAGTCTGTTGTCGGTTTCCTTCATATCCACCCATTCCCCCCGTCCCTTATGTCCCCAATCCCCAAATCCCCTATCGTCAAAGACTAACCCCCGAGAAGCCGTCAACACACTTGTAACGACTTTGGTGTTTTGAGTGTCCATGGGTTGTACTGATTGCTTACCACCAGACGATCCGTCTTGTCGGCCTATATCATACAAAGACTTCTAACATCTAATTATATTTTGTTATGTCTTAAGCTCTTCGTATTGAATTACCAATGACTTCATTAAAGTATCAAATTAACAGTTTAATATTAATCTCTGCACCAAGTGCCCTGAAATAAACACGTTCTTTCCATATCATTCCATTTCCTTCATGCTGGCTTATAGAAATAAATTGTTCATAGCACAGACGCCACGGTTGTTGTGGTGGCTGGGCAACCGGCTGCAGTGCAACGTGTCGCGGGTTCGATTCCCGCACGGAACAACACTTTATGTGATCCACAAATTGTTGTTTCGGGTCTGTGTGTCATTGTGTATGTGAACTTGTATGTTTGTAAACGCACCCACGACACGGGAGAAAATCCGAATGTGGGGCAATGTTTTTATAAAAGTAAAAAGAATAGTATACTTACTGCTTGGTGGGGGTCCAGGTGGAGGTCCCTGTCCATTGCAACCTGCTGCCTTTGGTACGGCAGTCATACCGCTCTGGAAAACAAATTCAGCATTAGTGTTCACAGTTAAGAGTTTAAGTCTTTGAAGTCCGACAAACTAACTTAGGTTTCGAAGAATATCTGTTAGAACCACATTATATACTTTTCAAATATGACTTTCTTTTGAAAAATCTTAGGATTTTGCTCATTAAACTTGTACAAAGTGAAATATTTCAAGTTATACTCACAACAGCAGCGAGGGCGATGCCCATAACAGCGATGATAACTCCAAAAATCTTCATGTTGTTTCAGCGAATGATCGTGAACTGGCGACCTACTGGACACCCTCTCTATATATACTGAATGAAATCTATTAAAATACTCCACTTTGTTTGTAATGTCCATCCGGTGGACGATATAATAACAATTATTATGAATATTGCCTTCCGCTTGCTGTAATTTAGTTATTTGTACGCGACAACGCGACATAATTAACTTTTATAATACGTTTGCTAATCGCACTGAATTTTGTCTATAGCAAATGGTAAATAGAATACATAGTCATACGAACATATTTCATATTTTTCACACTTTGCTATCAGATAACGTTTCAGTGAATAATTCTTTCATACACTACGTTTAAAAAACCGACTTCAACCCCTTCCTTTTTGAAGTCGGTCAAATAATATTCTAAAGCCTTCTCTTAAATGTAACTAACACTTTTCTGAAACCCGCATCAAAATTGGTTCAGCCAATCGCGAGATTATCGCGCACAAACCTCCAGAACTCGAGAACCTCCTTTGAAGAGGAACATAACTTCACGCCAGTGTCCCATAGGCAGAAACTATGGAACGCACATTGCTTCTATTCCTACATACCTCTTTCGCTTCATCAACAGTCATCAGTCATGTATGGTTAAGAAGATTTTCGTAAACCCAAATAAGTTTTGACTCATCATGGCATTACAGGCTCAACCAACGATGAAATACCTAGACTGACTCACAGGGCAGGTAAAGATTAAGAAGATTATTGCCAACACTCCATCAATACATATCCCACTCAAATTCATACTAAACAAATAACCAGTTATCAGGTAGTAGGATGATGCTAATCACGACTCAACCAACATGTTACAAGTTGAAGACAGGTCACTGGACAAATGAAATGCCAGAAATGGGGATGATGACAGGGAATGAAAATTAAAAATGTAATTAGTCCGTCAGTTAGGTAATGAAAAAATATTAGACACGTATTTTTTTATTTTGTCGTATAATAAAACAATACTTAGATAAAACGCATCAAAGTTTAGGAGTGGGGGGCTAAAACGTCATTTTTACGTATAAAATGTACGTAGAAGTGACGTCACGCGACATTTCAAATCAATACATATATCGTCGAAAGTATTCGTTTCTGTAAGAAAATAAAAGATACCTCTATAGTACCTTGGTTAGATACAAAAGAAGAAGTATTTTACTTCCACCGGCCATTACTAGATGTCGTGTGTATTTGAATTAATTTTAATTAAAAAATAAAAATAAAAATCTTTTATTTTCAGGCGTCGACGGCCCATAGAGTGTTAGTAAACAGTACAAACTTAAAAACTATGTTAGTAGTAACACACGAGTACAAAAATACAATAACAAAATAATACATACACAAATACAAATACAGAACAGACTATTATTAGAAGCATTATCAAGCCCCACGTCTGACATGCAGCTTGATAAATCTATCTATTGTAGGCCCTTCTAGCCTTTCTGCAAACACCCTCAGAACGCCGTTGCTGCTCTCTCTCAATCTGCGCAACACTGATGCCACTTTTTTGCGCATGATCGCGAAATAATCATCAGTGTGCGCATCCGCGAACATACCTGACGCACTACAGTAAGGTGGAAGCCTCAACAGCGTCCTGAAGGCGTTATTATATTGAATGCGCAGTGCGCTGTCCGCCTTTTGAGTATGATTAGCCCACAGACTGCTGGTGTAAAATATTTGACAAAACGCCTTAAAAAGTGTTATTTTAACCAGTGCTGAACAACCAGCAAACCTGCGCGCCAACATGTTTCCCCTAACAGCCAGCGCCCTGCGCTCCCTTTCCATATCTAGATCACCTTTTAAATCCTCCTAAAAATAATTGCTTTTAAATTATCTGACAGCAATGATGAAGAAGAGACAAATGAAATATTAAAGAGATTTCGCCATTTAATTGTATATTATGTATTTTAGTAACAAAGTTACAAAAACAACAAATTATAAATTACCTGCTTTGTATCGACATCTGGTCGCGTGATAAATAATAAATCAGTTAAATAATTGTATGTAGTCAATGATACTGCATCATTTCATGTTATATTAGTGGTCTGTAGTAGCGACGGGGCACCCTGCTTGGGTATATGTTTATATATAAGTACATTTGTTATAGTATCTAGTTATATTAGCAAATACAATGAACACTCCTTTTTTAAGACAACAGCAACGGTCTTTAATCGGGACAGATATGCTCGTGACTATAGTCCATCTGTTTAGGTAATTAACTAAAGGTAAACAAACAAAACCACGTGACACAGAGATACTTAACCTTCTAGTACTTCAAATATTTCTCGAGTTTTAATTTAAACTAAATTTCACTTTAGCATCGTTCATTTGTCACACGCACACATACAAGCACAAATGCCTAAATCGTACAAGAGCCTAGCCTATGGGTCTATTTCATTATCATGTTTAAATAGAAACTATTCTGAATCTGATGTACGGATTTCTTTCTTGTACGGATATGTGTCTTTGGGCCAAGTTTCTTCAATATATTTGAACACATTAATTACAAACGATGAATAACCTAAACTTAAATAACGTAATAACAAAAATAAAACAAAAACAAGATAAATTCAACAAAATAGGAACGCGAGCGCAAACGACGAGAGAGCTGTCAATGGCGCCTGATTAACCGACTAAACGTAATACACGCTACTTTCATTGTCGCGCTACATCTTAATTGGACTCTTTAATTTGATAACATTATCTAATGCTTCGTTCATAAAGAAAGGTTTTCGATATCTGGGATTTTAGGCTCTTTATGGTGTCTATTGTGATGAAATATTATATTATTTAATAAAAATGTTATTAAATTATTATGCTCAAGCAGATATATATAATATTTACTAAGAAATAAGTGAAAAGGAACAGAAACATAACATTTAATAGAGAAAACTGTCGTAAAAAAATGGAAACAATTTTATTTTCTTATGAAGTATTTTGAGTCATGGAAATGTCAACTATAAAGAACTCTTTTTATGGTTTGTTTACAAATAGTTAACTACCTAAACAGACGGAGTATAAGTGACTTGCGATCATCATGTTATCAGTCACAGTCATTATTGAACTTAAGACTCCCTTAATAACTTACAGATTCACCGGTTGGCGGGGAACTGCATTCAGTGACTCTCTGTGACCTTTTTCACAAATGTGACACTTTTTTTAGGTGGAAAACTCATCCAATGACTTCTCCTGCCCGGGTGAGACGAGAGGGAGTGTCAGACTCTTAATGACTAAAAACTACCCCGTTCCTTCTCCTACACTCCGAGCCGGAGCCCCGGCAACCCGTTAAGTCTTCCGTGGCTCCGTGTCGGTATCAGCCCTGTTGGGCCCCATCTGTGATGGTCTGTGGGCGCCTTGAGGCTCTCGGGCCTGTTCTGGTCGGGCGGCGAGTCACCCATGCTCACCGTCCGCAGGCCCGTGAGCCCGTGACAAATGTGACACTTGAAGGAAAAAAATAGGTAACTCGATGTATATTGTATACCCAGGACACCATATACCTGCTCGTTATAAAGTGTCATGATGATTTATAAAGGTCATCATTTATAATCGAGGTGACTGCACTCGTATTGATTTTGACTTCATGGTTATTGCTTAGCAATGGAATCAATAACGACCAAGTTTTAAATAAAATTAAAACAATATCATCAAATTAATGTAGAATTTAATGTAGAGGTACATAATAACAGCATCGTAATGTATGGGTTTGAAAAAAAAAACAATGAATAAAACACATTTATTTAGTTTTGTTTGATTATTATCTTTTATTGTTTTATTATGGTTGTATAAAATAGCCAATTTGTTGTGCGCGTCGATTTTATAGATAAATGACGTCTATCCACTCGATGAATCTGCGAAAAATTAAATTTGTATAAGGACAACAAAATTATCGGACGCTTATCCATTCAGAATACCTATAAGGGAAGAATTTCTATACGTATACTATCTAAGCGCAAAATCTGTTCTAACGTCGGAAAAACCTCCTAATCTACGTCATCGATTAGCAGACGTGGTAGAACTTCCCGAAATAACAGTTTATAGACATATTTTGAGCGGACAACAATATCTCCATGACTTGTCTCTTTTCCTGCTATTCAATTATAATCATCAACACTTTAAACATCAACTTACTGGTGGCAGCTGTGGTGGTAGTTGCCATTGTAGTGGATGGTGGGGGTGGCCGAGGTGGTCTGCCACCACCGCCGCCATGACACCCAGCTGCCTGGTTATCTGTCATGCCAGCCTGCAAAGTTAGCAAAATTGGAAGTCTAATTTAATGTTGTTCTTTCAATTTTAATCAAGGGTCTTGCTCTTGGAAGTGAACCATGGCATATTTAGCAGCTACAGGTGTTCTAAAAATCGAAATGTATTCAGATAGTATAAAATAAAAGATTTTCTTTTGAGTGTCGGAGAGCCATGCTTCGGCACTAATGGGTCGGCTCAACCGGAGTGATACCACGGCCTTAAAGAAAACCGACTGAAACCAAGAAAACGAAACGAAAAGTCGTGTGAGTGAGATTACCGGAGGCTCAATAACTCCCTTTCCCAATCTGCCCATTCTCTGAATCTCCAAGAATCCTCAAAATCCCTAATACTTAAAAAGCCTTGCACTTGTAACGCCTCTGGTGTTTGAGGTGTCCATGGGCGGTGCCGATTGCTTACCATCAGATGATCCGTCTGCTCCTTTAGGGGCTTATTCCAAATAAAAAAAATTAACCATGAGTGGAGAACCACCAGGCCTTTACTGTACTTCTGACGACTCAACTCTGCTATCGAATACTTGAGTTTTACTTACATATCTTTAGACAAAACATTGTCCTTAAAACTCACCACGATAGCAAACACGAAAGCCATTACGACCAACAAATACCCGATGAACTTCATCTTCTAATCTTGATGTTACTTCAAGGACTGACCTCATACATCCCGACCACATTTTATATATACACAAATTTGATCAAACATACATACACATAGTAAAGGTGATAATGTTGTTCCGGTGGTCACTTTGTGATCGTAAAATCATTATAATTATATATGTAGTGTAAACGTTTCAATAAATGGTGATGTTTATTTAAATCGGCTGGTAAATCCAATATGGCGTCATAGGAAACGTCCTTGAAAGGTGAATGAGTAGTGGGAGGTGATTCATTAATGTGATGACGTTTTTGTGTTGCACTGTATTGTTGTTTTTTAAAGACTTCAGGGTAAGTGCAGTGGCTGGGCAACCGGCTGTCGCGCATTGTGTAGCGTGTCCGATTCCGAACGGTGCAACACTTTGTGTGATCCACAAATTGTTGTTTCGGGTCTGGGTGTCATGTGTATGTGAACTTGTATGTTTGTAAACGCACCCACGACACAGGAGAAAATCTTAGTTTAGGGCAAAGGAAAAGCCGGCTTTAAAAGAAGAAATAAAAAAGAAGAAAGGCTTGATTCATAAAATTTACATAATTCATAATTATAATTATTAGATTTTTTTCATAAGTTCTCTATTTCTCATGGCTATGTTCTACTATATAAACCTGTTTCGTCCAAACTAAGTTGTGAGACAAGTGATACTCTTCAGGTTATATACACTCTGCAAGTAATTACCCTCAAACTAATTGGACTTTCCATGTGTTTACAAATTCAGTACGAAGACATAGGTCTTACTTGGGGATGTTAGAAAAAAACCGTGCTTATTGCCATGGATCTACCTACAGCCCACTTTTGCATTTAATGAAAGTCACATTTGGAGAATCAAAGTCAAAGCATTTATTTCAATTAATTCTTGATAAGGCACTGCACTTGAATTGTTAGTGAAGCTAGGTGCTTCGAGTAGAGAAGAACGAGCAAACTCCATCGTTACTCTTGATAATCAAGAAACTGCTTTCTGTTATTGTTTGCAGTTTGCACTATATATTGACTTCCCACAACAAGCCTAACTAAACATAATTAAAGGGTCTAATAAAAATAAAACAACCAAAAATTTAAATAAAATATTTATTCCTAGCAATTAATTCATCCCTAAACCAGACCTAATCTAACTCTAATTTCTTGAAGCTGCCTTGAAGCCCGAACTCCTTCTCAGCCGGCGAGGGCTTGCCAGCAGGTCGGAGAGACTCGTTCACGCGGCGTCTGTTCTCATCCCGGATAAACACTGTATTCGCTCTTAAACGCTTAAATAGTTCCTCTGAAAGAGAAGAGTGAGATAATATTAAATAGTGATATTTGTCCTTGGCAGATAAGTGAACTTGGCAGTCGTAGTGTATAGTAGGCAGTAGTTGAATTGGATGCGTAGAAATGAAGATTGATTGTCTGTTAAATGGACAGATAATTTATGAAATTTGTAGAGGCACAGCACAGAATCTGATAAAAGACAAATCATGTAAAGTATTTTCATTGGACAAAACGGCAAATGAGGTAACGGATCAAGGGATAATAATCATTCGTCGCAGTACATCAAAAGTCGACGCAACTCAGAAATACATAATACTACCTCTATATACCATAGGTAGTCAACTAACCTCTCAAAGTATCAAAATCCTTGTACTCCCCACCAGCTTCTTTAGGAAGTGCCTTCTGTGGGATGAGATTCTCAATGGAGTCTGCACCAGTCTTGTGGGTGTTCACCAGGTGCATCAAATCCTTCCTAAGGTACGGCCTGATGAGAGACAACAGCTTGTCCATGAAGTACGGCGCGTTCATGAAGTGAACTCCTTTTAGTTTTACGAACATGCACTCCTGGAACAAAGATTAGGTTTGACAATACTTCTATTGCGCTGGAGGATTTTAATGAGGCAAAATCCTACACTCCCTAAACTTTCCTCCCCATAAGCTAGTTGCTTTTAAAAGGAGCCTTTGAACATGCTCAACAAATCAATTCATTTTTGTATATACTTAATATTCCCATCAAGAATATAATATATATTATCATAACAAGGTATACCTGCAGGAAATATAGAACTTTCTTAACAACCATGAGGTCCAGCCTCGCGATGTGTCCCAGGGTAGCTGTCTCCATGTCAATGAGGATCACGAAACTGTCGAGAAAAGAAAGTTTAAGGCTCTAAAGTAGTGGAAAATATATGCTTAAGAATTTTAAAGCAAAATATCACTGCATTTTCTCTCAATATACGGGTCGGGTAAAGTATTATTGCAATTTTTGATTGTGCTCAGCACAACGTCTTTTAAGCCGAAGGATAAATTCTTCAGCGACATTTTATCTTTACTTTATTCTCACGCCAATGTAAAACAATACATGTTGGTTAAAGAAACGCAACATTTCCTGAGACAGAACAAAGACATCAGTAATTTACAGTAATTAGCATCTAGTTACTTGTACTGCAGTAATAAATGACATGTTTCATTTCATTGTCAATTACAGTTAGATCTTTTTTATGATTTTTTCCGCCTGGGTGAGGCGGGAGGGAATGACAGACTCTTACTGACTAAAAACCACCCCGTTTCTACTCCTGAACTTCGAGCCGGAGCCCCGGTAACCTTTTACATTTAGTTCTTTGAGGTTATAGGTAGATCAAGAATTTCGTTTCTTAGATATAACTAAACACATGTCAGAAGGTTACTGTTCCTCAGCTAGTGAAGATTTTACAACTAGAGAAACTTTGAAAACATTGTTTTCTGATGTTTTCTCAAAACTAACTCATCACCAGCTCTATTTAAAGGCTCGTACACTAAACTGCGATGCGAAGTCGCATCGCAATAATATGCGAGCTCCATCTACCCATCGCAAGAACTTGCGAATTGATTCACATTGCGCATCAAAGTCTTATTTTTCCAAAATCTTCTTTGTTTCTTTTTCCTGTATCTCCAAAGCAATAACAGAAGTGCACACTTATTGTAACGATCCATATCATGACCTAGTTTTAATTTAAAATACGTTTAGTACGGTTGACGGTCGTCGAAGGAATGGTCACCCTGGGAGACCGCCTTGTCGCACGAAATCGCATCGCAGCAACTCGCATCGTAATTTTCTGTATTGCGAATTCGCATCGCATCGCAGTTTTGTGTACGAGCCCTAAATAGTAAACAAGCTTTTTGACAAATGGTTCGCCTAATTCTAGGCCTTCTTTCTACTTATTTTTATGTCTATCTACTGAAACTTTGACCGGAGTATAAATCCAAAATCACATAGAAGCTTAATTATTATTTCAACGAACAAGAAACACTACCAATTCACACGTTACATTAAAAAACAGAGCGTAATGTCGTGGTGGCCCGGAGGTCGAGATATAACGCCCGCTTCTCTTGTATTAGGGTGCGGGTTCGAAACCTACTAACGGCAAGTACCAATGTGACTTTTTCCGAGTTATATGTACTTTTTAAGATTATCTAGACACCACTGACTAACGGTGAAGGAAAACATCGTAAGGAAACCTGGACTTATAATGTCTAATTATAAGTTTGAAATCACTAAACCGCATTGAGCAAGCGTGCTGATTAATGCTTAAATATTCCTCGGACGAGAAGAGGCCTTTGGTCAACGATAGCCACTTATCGGCTGTTGATGATGATGTTGGTGATTAAGAAAGAAGACATTAATCAATATGATGACGACATAAACTTACCCTGGCCAAGTGCCTTCCTCATACTGCCACATATCGAAGACCATCATGAAAGTCCTGACGGCTTCCAGCAGGTTGAAATTTCGAGGGTCAGGGTCTGCCAGACGGAAGTATACTACTCGGTAGCCTTCTGACGTCACCGTGGGAAGAGGGGCACATAATCTGGGAATTATAAATGAACTTAGCGATTAACAAATTTTTTAAAGAGTACAGACATACAAACATTACGCCTTCTATCCCCGAAGAAGTAGGCAGAGGTGCACATTATACGGCAGTTAATGCCACTGTACAATGTAACACCCACTTTACACTATTTATGTCATGAGTCCCATGTAATAGAGGGTGAGCCTATTGCCATATACCGGGCTAATTTCCAGACTCAGTGCTACTACTAAGAATAAAAAAAACCAGTAATACTCATCCGGGAATCGAACCACTCGGCCAACGAGGCAGTCAGCTTATCCGAATACAGTTTTTTCAATTGAAAGACTGTCAAACTTAAAAACCTAAACATCTAAGAAAGATGAAAGACTTGAACATACACTGTAGTAAAAGCGAACTCTGCCTTCTTGTCAAAGCAGCGGTCTTTGAAGAAGGGAGCGAAGTGTGTGCGCAGTGTGAAGTGCAGGTCAAGCACCTGCTTCGACACCTCCATACTCTTCTGACAGCAGTGGTACACGATCAGCAGGTCTACATCTGGAAAGACGGAGAACATTGCTTGAGTATTAAACTGTCAAACACCAAGCGGTCACCGGTGACCGCAACCTATTGTTCTATAATTGTGTCTACAAAACCGGTACTCGACGAGTTAAAGGACCTAATAGGATCTTCACAGATTACATAAACAGTTGTTTAAATTCTTCTTTAAAATCTCTCTTCGGTTTTCGATGAATTACTTGGTCCTAAATTGCTCATTAGTGAATCCATGCTTCTAATGAGGCGTCCTAGGAAATGAGCTAGATTTGTACGCATAAACTCCCTGAAACATAGAGCTATCTAATATGCAAATAATTAATCACTACATAGTATAAAACAAAGTCGCTATCCACTGTCTGTCTGTCCCTATGTATGCTTAGATCTTTAAAACCACGCAACGGATTTTGATGCTTTTTTTTAATAGATAGAGTGGAAATGGATTCTTAAGGAAGGTTTATAGCATATTACACCTGTGCAAAGCCGGGGCGGGTCGCTAGTTGGACAATAAATCGCCAACCCGCATTGGGCAAGCGTGGTGATTAATGCTCAAACCTTCTCCGTGTGAGAAGATGCTTTGCTCAGGAGTGGTCATTTATGGGCTGTTGATGTAAATTGAACAGTGGATCCAATCAAGCAGACACTTATAAAGTTGCTACTTCAAGTTTGTTATGCTACAGATAGCGACTGGGCTTCACCCAGTTGTACAGTCTCTTCTTTGTGCCTTTAGGCTTAATTCATTCTGTCTCCTGCAGTAATTCACCGAGGGAAGTGGAAATTATAGTTTCTTCTCCTCTTATAATATCTTCTGATTCATTTCGTTGCGGGAACCAAGACAGTTACTCATGTGCCTGGGACGCGCCGGACTTCAATGTTCCGGTGTTTTCATGGTTGTATCTACTGTAGATCCTGGCTTACAGGAGTTGCAGCGGTTTTGGGAGGTTGTGGCGGGCTTGTCCCA